GGCGGCGGCCGCGGCCGGGGAGTCCCGGGCAGGGTCGTGCAGCGCCGAGCACCGGCGGGGGCTTCTGCTGCTGCTGCGTCCTCCTCCCCTCGGCAGTACGGGCATCCACCGCAGGAGAAGTCCTCCTCTCCTTCCCAATCCAAGGGCCTTGGCTTTATGGAGACAGTGAGGCTCATACGGAATATGTGCAAAATGATTTTTTTACAAGCAAAGTCGACAGACACCCGTTTGCCGCAGGGTCCGTTTGGCCAGGGCCGTCCGCGGGAAGCCGAGGGTCCCCTTGGCGCTCCGGAGGCGGTCATCGTTCCTTGTGCAGGGACTGAAAAAAAGGGGGAGCTGGCTCTCCTCCTCTTCCTCCTCCTCACTCTTCCTTCATGGACACGTGCTGGGATTATATCCGCTCCTGCAAAGCTTTCTTACACCACCCAACTCTGCGACTCGTCCCAACAGAAATGAATGAAGAACGCTGTTCCGGTTACTCCAGGTCACGAGAACAGTGAGGCACTTCTGAAACAAACCCATTAGGAACATTGAAACAAATAAAAAACCAGCATCGCTTCCAGCCCTGGCAACTACAGGCTGCTGATATAAATCCTGCTGTCCTTGAGCTCCTCCTGACTTTTTCTACAATCCGGGTTCTGCACCTCTTCCTCTTCCTCTCCTGCACTGTCCTGCCCTGGGTCCCTGCAGTTAACAAAAGGCAAGAGGTTGCCATTGGGGCTCTGCTTGCTGTTACCATTGAGAATGTTGTCTGCTGCATTTTCCATCTCTTCTATCGTCATGTCGCAGGCATCTGCGAGCTCCTGGGTTGTGACCTCAATGAACTTTGGATCTTGAGCAAACTGCATGAGTCCTTCCGAAATCAAGACCTTCAAAAGCAGGTGGGGAACCAGAGACAAAGACACACGTTAGTACTCTGCATCAGCAACCCTATCGCACCCCATCATAACCCTCTTTACCGATATATTTTCCCCAACAATCCTTCTCCCATTCATGCTGCCAACCCCTGCTTGGAGATGGCCTCTCCTACTCTTGGCATCGCGGGCAGCAACGTATCCGTTGCCCCCTTCTTCCCAGGGCTGCGTTTCTAGTTGGCCTCGACACTGCTCGTGTCCCTGGTGACTCTGCAGCCTTACCGCTTCCACCAGGCTGCCAGCGCTGCCGTGAAACTGCCTGCTGCTCCCTCCGGTCTGGCTGGGGGCGGGGGGGGGGGCCGGGCCGGG